TCTCTTGACGAACGTGTTCGATGGTCCAGAGTGGAGCAGTTTGAAATTCAAAGCTTTGGAGGGAAAACGGTTTCCAGCAGTTACTACGTGCGAACGTGCAAGGATCTGGAGCGTCGAGCATGGAGAACGTGACAAGTGGCTTGATCTCGAAGCAGTGTAACTGCCCGACGGTTACTTGGAATGTTTTTGTATAAATAGGAGTAGACGTGTAGTTTCTCGCGTGTGTTCACAATAGATACATAGTCACTCATTTAGATTCAAGTACCCAGTGTGAGCGAACGAATTGTTGAGAAATGTATGTGTGAAACACCAATTTATTAATTCAAGTCATTTACTTTTCCAGTATTTTACATGCTTTTCCCCTTTAAGATTCCTGTCGAACCTTTACATTCAAGCCTTGTTTATTTTACCAAGCCTTTCCTTTATGCAATTTACTTTAAATAATTTACTTAAAGCCTTATCCACATTAATTAAACTTCAAAAATCAACCTATGTCCATAGGATCAATCTGATCGATCCTGCGAGTAACCAAATAAGTAACCATTTGGAGGATCAGCGGTTGTTTACCAAATCCCAAGGTAAACAGCTGTGGAGTTAAATATAGTGTCTGAAGCTGAGACAATTGTTATAATTTGTAGAGTTGGAGCTCGTCGGAAGTTGAAAGAGGTGGGAGATTGGAAACTGAAGAGAGTATATATCTCGGTGATGATAAAGAGTGAGAGGAAGTGAGCTCCCGTTTGTGCATAGAATTGGAGAGAAGAAGGAGGATAACGATTTCAATTTTTTTGTTCTCTCCAAATGTGACGATGGTGATGACAGTGAAGGTGGAGACATGGTGATGGTTGGGAAACTGCAGTGATGTTTTGAAGAAATTTATTAAAGGTATTTATTTTAATTTTTGAGGTAATTGTTTGCAACAACAAAGCTGATGGCACATTGGTTGGAAATTTGATGAATGAGGGAAGGTTTATGAGTTCGAATCCTTGGAGGTGCAATTTTTTGATATTTTTTCATATGAATTTCAAAGAATATGACACAGTCAGCATACAGATCCTGACCACTTCTGCATTTCAAATAGAATCTTGAGCTAAAATATTTTTGGTTATGAAATCTATACTTGTTGAGGGGCGAAAAGAATTTTTTTAAAAAGGGGTAAATCAAATCTCGTTACTATTGTAGGAAGGTAAAAGACATTTAACCCATTTTATAATTATTCCTAAGAATCAAAATTTCTACCAAACACATGAGTTGGAATAATATTGAGGAATAATAATCTTAAGAATATCATTTCAAGTAATATATCTATAAACCTTGAAACAAACACACCCTTATTTTTACAGAACTTTTTTGTGATATTCCGGATATTTGGATAGATATAATGGATTTTTAACAAAATCTTTGTATTATGTTTATGAGTTTTTATCAGATTTTTATGATATATATTAGATTTTTGAGAAATTCATTAATATTTACCATTTTTTTTGAAAAAAATCCAATTTAATCCAACTATTTTGGCTAATTTATTTTGAAATTTTGAGAAATTCATGAATATTTACAAGAATTTTTGGAAATTGTGTTGAATAATTTATTCCGAATTTTTAAGAAGCTCTATTAAAAAATATAAAAGATATTTAAATAAATTTGGCATTCGTTGATTATTTCTGGGCTTCCTTTCATTAATTTATTATATGTTTTAATTGAAGATATTTTCCTCTCGAACCGACGTGTTATCATGGACATAATTTATTGGGAGACAACATGGTATTATTGTTGGGACAAAATTTAGGTACAATTCTTTATGTGTGATTCTTACTATTTTTCAGTGAAAATATGACAAGTATATAATTTCCTCTTACACATATGCAAATTGTTCCTATTTTTACTCCTTAAATAATATTTAAGTATACTTGTCATATTTTCATTAGAAAATAGTACGAACCACATCTAAAGAATTGTACCTAAGTTTTATCCTTATTATTGTTAAGGAAGAAAAGTAAATTGATTATGTGTTGTGAGAGAGAGAGATAAAGAGAGAGAAACTACAAGAACCAGAAATCGTCACATGACACTTTTGGTAGAAAGTTTAAATATTCATTTATGTTGAGATCCGTGTCAATTAGTAGTGGTATTCACAATCATGAACTAGTTAAAGATATATTCGGTCATGATATATTAGGTCATTTATCTTCACTAATATTATTGTTGATATATGTTGTGATATAACCTGGTTCTCTGAAACTGTTAAACATGTATTATATTGTGTTGATTTTTGACTATATGTACAAATAAAACAGGTAACAACTCCCACTACTTGAGATCGTTGATGTTTCATCAACGAAGTTGACGTGTTTAGTTGAATTTTCCTATTTGAAACATGAAAAAGAGAAAAACTTCACATGTGCACTGAAGAAGTTGCAGAAGTTGTTCACATTAGAGAATTTTCTCCCTAAAGTCACGATGACGGATCAAGAACTTTCCTTGATGAATACCATGGAAGTTATGTTCCCATCCTCAATTCATTTGTTGTATGTGTTTTATATTTAAAAAAATGTTAGTATGCAGTGCAAGGAGTGTGTCAAATCTAGATGCAATAACATGTTATGGATCAATGGAATAAAGCCATGTATTCAAATAGTGAGTTTGAGTTTCAGTAACACATGCAACATTTTCAGGTAATACATGTTGATATCCCTTTATTTGTTGAGTATGTGCACCAAACAGGGTTGACACATCATAAAGAAAAGTGTATTGTTGCATGGACTAATTGAGTCACACATTTAAGGAACACGACAATAAGCAAGTACATCGTTGTGAGTTTTTATTTTATTAAAGAAATATTCATCAATTTATTTATTATATCTTTCTCTATTATTGTTTTTTAGGATTGAGTCTGCTCATTGAAGACTCAAAAACATGTTGAGTACTAGTCGTGGAGATTTGTTCAAAAGTGGGATGCTGTGAACAACATGCTAAAGCTGCAACTAGGTGTAATTAGAGTATCATTTTAAAAAATTGTTGCCAACATTGAGTATCAGTATAACACTCCATTTTATCCGAGATTGCACATATTTATATCAAGACAGTGTATACGACAAATTGCAAGGGAGTTGGAAAGAGTAAAATTCGTTGGTTCTAACAAAGTTGAACGTGGTTGCTTTATTAGGATAACACATGAGTTGGATTTTGCATGTGAATTTGTAGGTATTCAAATACAAGGTTACCATGTTCCATTATAAACAATTCGTTTGTTTTTGAAAGAAATTACACATTGAAGAGTATGAAGTCACTGAAGAAGAGAGTGGGATACAATTTAACTTAAAAGAAGAATGTGAAGAGTTGAAGAGGTATTTTAGTATCTTGGATATCGCTTGCCAGAGGAAAATGAAGAAAAAATTCCGAGAACTAGCATATCCATGCACGACTTCCATGTATCCACCATCAGTACAAGCCAAAAAATGAGAGTTAAGAAGAGTAAAAAGGGAAATTTGAAACTAATATGCGAATATTGAATTTTTAATATATCCGATATCCCATGTTTGTTACCAATTTTTTAAATATCTAGTATATCTTTTAACAAAACTTCTTAAAAACTCAGAATAAATTATTCAAAATATAGTGTTATATTTGTAAACAACCTTGTCTAGGGCGACAACTTAGGACCGCTCCAAGAATAGGCGACGACATGGAGTCACTCGAACGGAGGTATCACATCGCCCTTAAGTTCTCCTTGCGCAGGGAAGAGAGAAATATGGAATAAGACATGTCTTGGGCAAAGAGAAAGTCAGAGTCGTTACTGACTCACATTTTCTTTGAAATAAGGATTCATTTGTCCACTATTTGACTAGGTGGACGTTGGTCCTTTCTTAGACAATTCTAGATCCTAGGGATCCTTATAAATTGGGCTTAAAAACAGGCTCAAAAACCACCGTACAAGGCTATTCGACGCCGTGAGCTAGCTCTCACCTCTCAATCGTGTAATATACCTACTAGAGCATCTAAATCTCTCAGTCATTGTAGGAGAAACACACACCTGTGCTTTTTGGACAATACACAAACAATTGGTTTAAACCAATTTTTTTAAAAATCCGATAAATATTCATAAATTTCTCAAAAATTTAAAATAAATTAGACGAAACAGTTGTATCAAATCGAGTTTCCTAAAAATTCAGATTAATATTCATGAATTTCTCAAAAATCCTCGCTTATTGTTTAGATAAACGCAATTCTAGGAAGAATTAACAATGCCACCCCCTCTTATACATGACACCCCATATGGCATGAAAAAACCAAATTATCCAGACTTAAATATTTTTCAGAAATTCAAAGTTTCAGTAACCAACCCCCCCAAATGACGATACCAGAAATTTCAAGACGACACCGAAAATTTAGTGAGACAGTAAAAAATTTCTGATATATTTACGAAATATCCGGTATTTTGTACCCGAATTTTAAAAAATTCTTATATTTTCATACCTGAAATTTTGAAATTTCCAGTGTAAACATTTTCTTTTTGTACCGGAAATTTCAAAATTTCCGGGACTTTACAGGATATCGAAAATTTTGGAATTTTCAGTAGTTCAATTTTGAAAATTGAAAATTGAAAGTTTAAATTGTCACATAAATTTGAAATTTTCGGTTTACCGGAAATTTTAAATGCATTATCGAAAATTTACTCTTACCGAAAATTTGATAAGAGTGTACTAGAAATTTGTTCTTTATCGAAGATTTCATCCCTTCTATCAAAAATTTTGTCCATAAATTATTTGTACCTCATAAATAAAATTGGAGATGACATGTTTAATTTAGGGAGTGACATGTCAATTTGTTCCATTATGGTGGGAGAGAATTTCCACTAGATATTTCATTTGGGCTCAAATGGAATGGGCCCATTCAGATAGACACAAATCGCATTGCAAAAACCCAGACACATACAGTTGCATGAACCCTAATTTTACGAAAACAAAATTTGAATCACAACAATAATCTTCGTTGATGCTTGCATGGCGGAAATTCCCACTCTTGTAGTTCGAAAACCCTGTTTTGATCTTCCAACCGGTTGCCCTCAATGCCTCTCTGCATACATTTATCTCAATTTCGCTAAAATCCCCTTCCAATTGAATTTCCATCTAAACGATCCACATTCCGGTAACTTCCACCCCATTTACCTTTCCCCCCTTCTCTATGATTCAAAGATGATTTTTTTACTGTTCTTCATTCATGGGTCTAGATGAATTTTTAATACTAATGTTGGTTTTGTGTTTTCTATGTTCTGTGTTGTTTTTTTAGATAAAATTCCTTATTTTGAGATTGGTGATGACTTTGTGGCTTATGATAATGAGAATGAAGGAGTTATTCAGTGTTTGGGGAAAAATGGTGGTGTAGTTGATTTGGATAGTGAGGTTTGTTCTCTTCCTGAATGGATTGCGATTAAAGCAGTTATTACTACTTGGCTTCATGATGCACTTGTTTATGAACTTTGGGTGGGAAATAAAGGTTCTCCGGCTTATAGTATCTATTATTCTGATCTTCCTTGGCCCATTAGGAGGGTTCTTTCTTCCAAGAAAGTTCGATCGGTGAAGGTTAAACATGGGATAACTGGTGATAATGCTGTAGCCAAGAAAGAAGAGGTCAGTTTGTTTCTCTTTATTACCGCAATTGCACTAGTTTTATGAAGCCTGGATGGATAGTTGTATTGTATGGGTGCGAGGGTGATACGGGATATGTGAAATGTGAATTTTTAGATTCTTGATATGATGCTTTTTAGATAGGTTAACAAAAATTTGAGTAAAAAAGTTATATGTTTGTAAAGAAAATGAGGTTGATTGATCTTCAATAATATATAACCATAATGTTGGGCGGTTAAGAATCAACTCAAAATAAAAAAAATGTAGTAGAGATGAGGATGTTCCGTTGGATGTGTGGTAAGATTAGACAAAATAAGATTAGAAACAACTAGAAGTTGATGAAGAACTAAAAAAACTATAAGAGAAGTGTTAGACCTCTTGTAAATAATATTTATAAGAGGAGAGGGAGAACATAATATGGACAGTAGGCAGTTATTTATTTTTATTAACAGTTTCTGTTTTTAATATTTAATAGTTAGTAGCAGTTATGGGACAGTTATGAGGTAGTTATGGATGATGTGAATATATATTAAGGAAACCATATGTTAAGAGGGAATATTTCAGAAAATATTTGAGTGGTTATTTGAAAGGGAGAGACCCAAGGCTCTCGAAATCCTTGGTAGGAATCACATGTGTTTTGAGTGACATTTCAATTCTGTAATCCTGTGAGCGTTTGTATTCTCTCTCTGTTTGATATATTTTCTCCAGAGAATATTTAATAGATCTCTATTTTCATTCAGTAATTATGTTCTTGGTACCAGTTTCTATATTGTTAGTAATAGGCATATTAGGCAGTTTATTTTATTATTATTAAATGTTGTATGTGCAGTAACTGTTAGTAACCGTCATGTAACTACTTTGTAACTGCTTTAGGTTGTCAGAATTATAAATACAGGGTGAAAGGGAAAAGGGAGGGAATCAGGTATTTTGTATGTTGGTTGGTTTGGGAGAGACTAGGCTCTCTAATACCTAGAGGTTAGTTTATTTTTCAATTGTTGATTATAAACAGTTTGTACTTTGGTATCGATTCCTATCAAGAAGTTATTAAGAAAGATCTCTAGATTAACTATTTGGATAAAAGCATGATCTTGGATAGAAGTCATAGAACATTATGGCGGAAGTTGATAGGGTTAATGCTTGGTTGTTGTTGTTGATTAAAACACAAATTGTAGAGTTTTCATCTAAGTTATAATACAACTCCACAAGGCTTGGCTCTATACAATAATAGCCAATAATTCTAAAACTTTTTTAATAAACTATTGTTTAATGTTATTATGATTCAGTCTCTTTTCCTCATTACTATCATCCATAAAAAGCATGGCTTCTAAGTCTAGTTCATCGAGAGACAAATCTGCCAATTCAAGAAGTCCAACATCATCTTCATTCTCCAAGTAGATCATGTACACGTACAACCTTGTTTCACCATTTCATATCCTTCATTTTTTTTAGCAGAAGTACCCGTGTGTATCTGTGATATATCTCATTCGTACATGGTAAAACAGTTTTTTAAAAATAATTTTGATACTTCTAGGATATGTAAAATAATATGGTATCCGATACAGATACTTCCTCAATTTTGGAGTATCTGAGCTTCATATAACTAGTTTCTTATTTTCCCATGTTGATAATAGTTTAGAAAACTTTGATGCTTAGTTTCCCATCAAAGATAATTGTAAATGTGCCAAACAGATTTGTAAATTGTATTTAACTAATTTATAATTGACGTGGTTGTTGATTATAAACTAATTTTGGAGTATCTTTGATGTGATTTTCTATTTGAAATGGTATTCATGTATGACTTTTAGTGATGGACAGATTTATGAGAGGGCAAACTCTGCTTATGATGCTCTATCAAAATTGTTAGATGAAAAGAACTACCTATTTGGGAACAGGTGATTCTTCTGGACAAGAATTTTGCTATAGCGGCAATACTTTGGTGTAATTTTCATTTTTTAGAGCAAATATTGACTTTGACATCTTGGTGATGTATTCACATTCTTTTAATTGGTGTATGCAGACCATCAAGCTTGGATGCTATTTTTCTTGCACATGGACTCGTTGTTCTTCAAGCTTTACCAGTAAGTGTTGCTGTCAAATATCAATCTACGGTGTTTCTGATGTTTGTTTTAAGATAAAATTCTAACTCTTGACGCACTTCATTATGTATCATTAGGAATCTTCTACGCTACGGATCAAGTTTTTGGAACATGATAATTTAGTTGGATATGTCCGAAAATGCAAGACTGAAATTATAGAAGCCGGACCCCAAATTCACACTGATGCATCATCGTCGGGTTTCAGAATTCCTTCAACTCAGAGTAAGATATGTCCATGTTTTCTTTCTCTTGCATAATAGTGAGTTAACTATTCTCATTTTCAAAGCTATTTTGAATTTAAATATCTATTTTGTTGGTGAAGAAGGGCATAAATTTAAGAGCGCGCCGAAAAGGGAGAAGACAGATGAGGAGAAAAGGTTTAAAAGGAAGGGGAGATATTTTGTGGCAGGACAGTTGGTTGCAGTTGCTGTTTTTCTCACACTTATGATGTCATTTGATTTTGCTGAAGTGGAGCTAGAAAATGTTGACGGAGGGGATGAATAAAGATCCTCTGATGTTTTGTATACATAAGTATGGTAAAACAGAATCATCTTTGAATAGTATGTTGCTTTATATTGAGTTGTAAGAAAGGAACCATGTATTGAGTGAGCCTTTGGGTTTGGTGGCTTAAACAAGTTCAGAATTTTCATACACATTTAGTGTTAAACTGATACGTAAATCTCATATTATTATTATTTTTTTGTATCTCTCACAGGAGAGGAATAGGTTATACTTATATACATAGAAAATCTTATTTCTAATTATGACCAAATCAGAATAATTAACAAATAATAACTCTATTCCTATTATAATTCCTAAAACCATGCTGACAGCTAATGCCAACACTCCCCCTCAAGTTGGTGCATAGAGATCTCGAATGCCCAACTTGTCAAGTGCGTTGTAGAAGTCTCTGCTACATACAGCTTTTGTGAGTATATCTGATAATTGATCTTCAGATTTAACAAACGGAAATTGAATTATCTTGGTCTCCAAATTTTGCTTAATAAAGTGTCGATCTACTTCCACGTGTTTTGTCCGATCATGTTGGACCGGATTATGAGCAATTTCAATTGCAGACTTGTTGTCACAAAAAAGGTTCATGGCATTATTCGGAGCATGGCCAATTTCACTTAACAGTCTTCGAAGCCAGAGAAGCTCACAAAGACCTTTAGCCATCCCTCGAAACTCTGCTTCGGCACTTGATAATGCTACAACCTTTTGTTTCTTACTTTTCCATGTAACCAAATTTCCTCCGACAAACGTAAAATAGCCTGAGGTGGATTTCCTGTTGGTGATATCTCCTGCCCAGTCAGCGTCTGTATAGCCTTCAACTCGTACATGATTATTCTTTGTGAACATCAAGCCTTTTCCAGGCGAGGACTTCAGATACCGCATGATTCGAATTACCGCGTCCATGTGATCTTTACTCGGGTTATGCATAAATTGGCTTACTACACTTACCGCATACGCTATATCAGGTCGTGTATGAGATAAATAAATAAGTTTGCCAACTAATCTCTGGTACCTTCCTTTGTCTGTTGACACTTGCTCTGGATATTCTCCAAGTCAGTGATTCTGGACAATTGGAGTGTCTACAGGTTTACAGTCTAGTAGCCCAACCTCTGATAAAAGATCCAGGATATATTTTCGTTGAGATAGAAAGATGCCTTTCTTCGACCTAGCAACTTCGATACCTAGGAAATATTTGAGTCCACCTAGATTTTTCATCTCAAATTCGGTTGCCAGTTGTGTTTGAAGTTTTGCTATTTCCTCAGAGTCATCTCCCGTAATAATCATATCATCTACATACACAATCAAGGCTGTGACCTTACCTTGACGATGTTTCAAGAACAACGTATGATCAGCGTTGCTTTGTTGGAAGCCATAATTTTTCATTGCCAAGTTCAATCTCCCAAACCACGCTCTAGGAGATTGCTTCAAGTCGTACAAACTGCGTTGTAATTTACACACTACCTTCGTTTCATAATTTGTCATGTATCCCGGAGGGATATCCATATATATTTCTTCTTTCAAGTGCCCATGGAGAAAGGCATTTTTTACGTCTAACTGATGCAAAGGCCAATCAAGATTTACTGCAAGGGATAAAAGAACTCTGACAGTGCTTAACTTGGCAACAGGTGAAAAAGTTTCTTGATAGTCTACGCCATATGTTTGAGTAAAGCCTTTAGCTACTAGTCTTGCTTTGTACCTTTCAATAGACCCATCAGCTTTGTACTTGATAGAGAAAACCCACTTACACCCTACTGATTTCTTCCCTTTTGGCAAAGGAACAAGAGTCCATGTTGCATTCTTGTTTAATGCCTCCATTTTTTCATTCATAGCTTGAACCCATCTAGGGTCTTCAATGGCCTCTTCAACCTTGCTAGGTACACTGTGTGAAGATAGCTCATTTGAAAACTTCTTAAGGGGTTCGGACAAGTTCTTCATAGAGACATAATTAGCAATTGGATACCTCGATCTATGATCCTCTTCTTCAGGGGAGTATCACTTCGGTGGTTTTCCCCGATTATGCCTGCGCGGTAATTCATATCTAACAGAGATATCACCATTATTATTATTAGGAGATATAGGAGAGCTTACCTCAATGATATTCTCAGGAGATGGATCGTTCGATACTGGAGAGGGGGGGAATTCCGATACTTCAACTTCAGGACTCATATGATCGATTTGAGTTTGACCAGAATCATCACAAGCTTCAGTTGATGATATATCAATATCCTTGAACCAGTCAAATGTTGACCAATTCGACTCTTCTCTTGGTGTCTCCCCCTGAAGAGAAGAATTGGATGATGCCGAGGAGTAGAAATGGTCGAATTCCAAGAATGTAACATCCATTGTTACATACATGCGTCGAGTAATAGGGTCATAGCAACGATACCCTTTCTGGTGTACACCATACCCCAAAAAAAGGCAGCGAATGGCACAAGGATCAAGCTTTGTACGCTGGTTTTTATGTAGGTGAACAAACGCAACACAACCAAAGACTCGAGGTGGCAACATTTGTATTGTAGGCAGTGGTACAAGTGTCGACAAGGTCTGCAGTGGAGTTTTAAAGTTAAGAACCTTTGATGGCATCCGATTAATGAGATATACTGCTGTAGTAACAACATCAGTCCAATGGTGGTGAGGCACATGTGCTCCATGTAAGAGAGCACAGGCAGTTTCAAGGATGTGACAATTTTTTCGTTCTGCAATACCATTTTGTTGTGGAGTTTGTGGACACGTGGTTTCATGAATAAGACCGTGTTTTTTGAAATACCCATGGAATTGGTGGTTTACAAACTCCCCACCATTATCAGAGCGAAGGATCCGAATCTTCTTTGAATATTGAGTTTGAATCATTTTATGGAATTGTTGAAATATGTACAACACTTCATTTTTTTGTTTCAACAAATAAATCCAAGTCATTCGAGTGCAATCATCAACAAATATCACAAACCACCGATAACCAGAGAGAGAAGATTTTGGGGATGGACCCCATACATCAGAATGGATTAAAGCAAAAGGAACATTACTTTTATTCATACTTAATGGAAAAGTGACTCGATGACTCTTGGCTAAAATACAAGCTTCACATTTGAAGTTCAACAAAGATGTATCTGAAAATAAATTTGGGAGCACATGCTTCAGATATCCAAATGAAGGATGGCCTAATTGACGATGCCAAAGTAAAACTTGCTCCATTTTATTGTTTCTTGGATAATGAATGTGATGCGCTCGGCCTACACTAAAATCCTCCATATAGTAGAGTCCCCCTCTCTTAGTACCACGCCTAATGATCTCCTTCGTGAGAATATCCTGAAGGAAACAGAAAGATGGATAAATTAGCACAATACAATTCAAGTCTTTTGTAACTTGACTCACGGACATCAGCTTATGAGATAGAGAGGGAACAAGTAGTGTATTTGAAAGCAAGAGGGCTGGTGATAACATCACAGTTCCAGCCCCTGTTACCGGGGATAAACCACCATTTGCATTGGCAGTACTTGAGCGCCGAGGGGCTGAACGTTCAGAAAAATCAGCAGCATCAAACGTCATATGATCGGTCGCTCCGGAATCAAGTATCCATGCATTAGAGGCATCATCATGATTAGAGAAAATTAGAACATTACCTTCACTGGTGTGGGAACTTGATTTCGGGATGAGGGAAAGATGTGGTTCGGCAGTAGCTATTGCAGCTTTTCCCGAGTTGCTATCAGTTGTATCGCGACGCTTTCGAGTCTGAAATTCTGTCCACCAATCTGGATAGCCATGAAGTTTAAAACAGGTATCTCGAGTATGTTTGTTACCTCCACAATGAGAACACTTAGTTCCATCAGATGATTCTTTATGTTTGGTTTGAGAGAATATCTTGCTGCTCTGTAATTTGAGACCCTTAGATGCGAGAACTACTCCAGATAATTCATTGGAGTTGTCTGTCATCACTGCCTGACGAAGTGCTTCCCTCCTAACATGTGCATATGCTTGCTCCACGGTTGGAAATGGTTTCATTTGTAAAACATCGCTTCTGATATTATCTAAGCGCTCATCAAGTCCATCCAAAAAACCATACACTCGTTCTTCTTGGACAAGTGTATTGTAGTGTTGGATATCAACTCGACATGTCATCGGATTTGGACGTCGAAAATCTATCTCACGCCAAAGTCCTTGGAGATCGTTATAATATTTTTCAAGAGAACCACCGGCTTGTTTAAGACGTGTCACCCGTCGCCTAAGGTCATACACCTGCGAGGTATCGCTACCATCAAAGTATGTGGTCGCAATTACATCCCACACCAGTTTGGCAGTGGAGAATCGAATAAAGTTGCTGATTAGAGAAGAGTCCATTGAGTTGATTATCCATCCCTTAACAGTCGCGTTGTCAGTCCTCCAACGTCGAAAGGTAGGATCTGTTTGAGGGGGTTGCGGAAGATCTCCATTGATATATCCCAGTTTATCTTTGCCGGAGATATACATCTCGACCACCTGGGACCAAAGGGGATAGTTGCTGCCATCTAACTTGATGCCAATCGGTGCCACCGTATGGTCAGAACTAATCTGTGACGGGGCTGAAGCGCGGTTCAAAACTTCCGTCATTTTCGTCGTCAACTCAGCAAGAATAGAAGTCGAGGTAGCATCATCAGAGATTGAATTCGAGTCGGCCATGGAAGACGGGTGGAAGGTGTTACCGTAGGTCAGGGTTAAGACCTGGCGGCTGATACCATGTTAAACTGATACGTAAATCTCATATTATTTTCTTTTTTGTATCTCTTACAGGAGAGGAATAGGTTATACTTATATACATAGAAAATCCTATTTCTAATTATGACCAAATCAGAATAATTAACAAATAATAACTCTATTCCTATTATAATTCCTAAAACCATGCTGACAGCTAATGCCAACATTTAGAACTTAAGAACTGTAGTTAATTTTGCATGAAAATAGAAATTAAGAATGTTTTTTCAAAATTGTTGTTTATTTATGATGTTGAAAAAATATTA